TTAATATTTGCTAATTTGGCATTGAAGCCAAATTGACTAGAAAACCACTGGAAAGGCAGCAGGCGATCAGAGATAGACGTCTACAGTTTGCTTAGGATTAGGGAGATGAGCCATGGAGACAATGCTTGATATCTGCAAGCATGGGAATCAGAACCTAGATGCCCTGTCCAGTGAGGCGACAGAGTACTTGCCTCCAACGTCTTAAGAAATAGCCCCTGGAATAAAGCATATAATGGACTGGAATCAAGTTAAATCAGTCAACCAGGAAGATTAAAAACAGATCTACGGTTCTATTAAGGAAATTAGGATAGGCGGTCCGAGTCAGATCCGCAAATCGATAGGTAAGAGGGACAAGACAGACAGCAGGTGTTATGATGCCACACAAAACTCGCCAAAAAAGGACACAATTATGGAAGAGTCTAAAATAAGCAGATCAGAAGTTCTCATATTGTGCCGGAATAGATACGAGTTTTGTGAGCAGGTAGATATGCCGGAAGAAAAAGGGTAGTAATAGCACGACCGTTTTTCTTTTCATACCCGAGTACTATAGAGGTACTTACTTTGCCATCTTCTTTGAGTAAACTCATGTTTCTCTAGAAAGTTTAGGCTGAGTTATGAAATAGTAATTCAATTTTCCAACAATAAATCTACTATCTCTTGAAACGCTGTGAAAATGAGAAATGACTATTTATATATATCTATTTATCTAGGCACATATCAAACTAGATGATACAACATCAGTGTGTAGTAGCCTCTACTAAAAATAGTCTAAACTTGTTATTTACCTGTAGTTATTCTCTGCTGAACAAATCTCTTGCACATAGTATTTCAACATATATATATAATTGATAGTAGCTTCTCTTTAACTTGGTCTCTCAATAAATATTAATATTTTAGATATGTCTTTTTTATAAATGTCATTTTGGCATTAAAAATTATCTTTTACTATACACTGAATATAAGATAATTAAATTCAGTCGATTTTTTCCCGAATCTTTGATTCATAAACTACTTTACACATGAAATCTTAGTGTTAAAATATGCCTCATCACAGTTGCATATAATAAGTATTACTCTTAATCATGCTATGCTTATGCATTAGGATGAAGTGAAAATGATGACGCACGCTTCTGACCGAATCAAACACGAGCTTATGATATCGAACTCGGGAAAACGGATAAAACTTAATTCTGCAGATATAATCAATGGAGACTTTTCAGTGCCTAGCCAAGTTGATCATGTTGCTCATATTTATGATCCAATGATACCAGCAATAGTCTCCCCAATAGAGTATAATACAAAGCATGCTCTTGACCAAATGCCTATCGCCCTGAAAACATACCAGCCTTCATCTACGTTTTCATACAAATTACAGCTACCAAATACACGGCTGGACGTCAGAATCCTGAGTGTTGCTCATCACGCCTTTGCCTCTGATATATGTAAAGAACTTCAACAGAGGCCATACTCAGATGTAAAGCCTGAATCGATGAGCCCTATGTTTGTTGCCACCTCTGAATCAGAACAGATGGAAAATATCGTAAATTTTGAAACTACAAATAATACAAGACAGGAAGAGATCTACAAAGAAAATCAAACCAAGAAGTCAGTTTCAACTCTGTACTCTAATGACAGCAAGAAATTAGATTCTACGTTTGATGAGTTAAATTGCTCAAAATGGCTAACCACAAAGCTCAAGGATTCTTCTCTTGAAAATCAGTAGGTCATAAAATGCTTTTATAAATATGCGCAGTTTCTAAACTATTTACATTCAGAACTTGTTAGTAAAATCTTTTAATGATAAAAATAGTTCATAATTAAGCAGATAATATACCATATCCAAAAATTGTGGCAAGTATATACATACAAAATTTTAATTTTTATACCTGAGTACTAGAAACGTACTCACTTTGCCATCTTCTTTGAGTGAACTCATGCAAAAATACGTTATTAAATAGGAACTTTTGTTCCCCTAGGAAGCTTAGGCTCAGTTAGGAAATAGTAATTGAATTTTTCTACAATAAAGCTAGTATGTCTCGAAAAGCCAGTGAGCTTAATTAATCCTTATAATCAAAAAAAAGTTTTCTGATCCTGTGCGGATTTCACTTTGTTCTTGCCTTATTTTCATCAACCCTCTCCAACGGAAGTTATGCTATTCAAACAGAGGCAAATTAACTCTCATATATTTGAAGAAAAACTAGATTTTAAAGAATACTTTAGTGATTAATTGTAACACAACTTTGCATTTTGAAGGAAATTTGGTTGGGAGAAATTCGTGAATTCCTCTTATTAGAAATTGAAGGAGAACTGCCCTTGAGGAGTGACAATGTTGGATTGTATGAAAAAGTCCTCAGTTCACCACATATGCACATTGGGGTCGTAGGACGATGACTCAAAGTCTTCTTACGTTTCAACAGTCCTTACTCCTCCAAGGCAATCCTTAGATTTTCTTCCAATCAACGTTTACTTCGAAATAAAAAATTAGATCACAGCTTAACTCTTCGCTACACAGCTAGGGATCCAAATTGGCTACAAAGCAGATGTAACTTCCATAGTAAGCTAGATTTCTTAAAAAGTACTTTTAAACTGATGTGCTATATTCAGACAACTTATATTAATCTCTAAAAGCTAAGATGCTAGCTTGCTTATATTTAAGTATCCTTTGAGATAATCAGCAAATTTTGAATAAGAACTTGAATTCCTTTGATAAATGATTTCCATAGTTTCCCACCAGGATATAGGTGTTTATCAAGTATTCAATATCCTTTAGAAGATCATTTTGTTTTATATACTTAGAATAAGCTGGTGTAAAAAGAACGAATAAAATTTTATCAAATTGATTAATTAAGCTACTAAGGCATAGTTTCGTAATTATGGTAATTACACATAGTGACATAAAATATTTAATATTTTGCAACAGATTATATTTTTCCATATAATGCCAAATAAATTTTGCTTAGCTAAGCTTTACCGCTTATCTTAAATATAGAAAGAATGACGTGCTTAAATTCAAATCAGCTTCAACAGACACATTTGAATTAGACTGTCAAAGAGATGAAGAATTGCACCTATTGCGAATAAAAGGGGAAGAAGCTGAATGCCGGGTCAAAGTAAGCTAAGAATAAAACTAACATATTTTACCTCTATATTTTTGAGAGAAGTAATTTGACCTTAAGGAAAATATAAAGAGGCTAGATGTTTTTTCCTGAGGTTTAAAAAATAGCTTACTGTTGATACATGAAAGTATTAATTTAAAGTCAGGATTACGATTAAAAATTAAATTTTGGATGATTACATGATGAAACAATATCCAGCAAATTTAAAACCTACTTTTTTGGGCTTCAAATTCTACATTAAAAGCTCAATTATTGAGGATGTTATTTATTCTGGGCATGGAAATCAATTGGTGGAATCAAAACTAGTGATAGGCAATGTTGATTATATGGAGGAGAGAATCAGTAGAAGCCCGCATGTCACTTGATCGAAAAGTGCGTATCTAGTCGAAAAAAGTTTGATGTCAGGAAGAGTAATTAGAGAGGGAATGAAATGGTGCACCTTGTTTACTTTTGACCGAGAAAGTCATATATGTTTTTTTACCTTCCTAGCATAAAAGTTTTTTTAATTTCTGATTTTATCATAAAAAAAAACATGTATGCGAGTTGATGGGCAGGTGGTGCGTTTATAATTTCCATGTTATTGATATTTTTGTACTTTAATTTTGGACTGTTTCTGCATCTTATATTTTACAATATTATGCTATAAGTAAATATTATTCAATGTTTAGCTGTGTTTTTGAAGATATTCCAATGGAAACCAAATATTTACATTTGATACTACTTAAATTCTATCATAATTTATGGTAAATATCATTGTATAGAAACCTTTGGTGAAATAATTGCCAAATATATCAGTAGTTCTAGTTATATATGCCTTTGTATATTATTGAGTAAAATTTTTATATATTTTTAGTTAAAAGAGAGGGAAATTGCGACATGCAAATACATAGAAAATAGCCTCAAGCAGCGTGTAATGCAAACACAAGATGTTCTTCATTTCAAAACTCAAGTATGTCTCTGTTCTGGTTCATAAAAAAGTAATAATAAAGTAATAAGAACTAAAAATGTCTTAAAATGTGCTGCTATTTATGAGATGTGATGAAGATACGTTTTGAGACAGTGATTATTTGGCAAATAGTTGCCATAAAGCAACAAGCGGGTTCATGCCACAATTAAGCAGAATTACATATTTAATGTGTATTAAAATTTATTTTCTTGTGATATAATATGACTATCAGGACAATAATAATAATTATTACTGTTATTTAAAAAAAATCTAGATTAAAGATTAGCCTAAATCTCCAGAGTTCATTTTTTCCTTTGGTAGCTGATTATGCTTTATTGATGCCGCTACTGAAAATTAAAGTTGTATAAACTATTTTG